TATGCAATGAGTGTTGTTATTATTTTCCTCTTGCATTTAAGGAAACAGGTGCATAGAGAGGTTTGAGGCTCGTCAGCTGGGTTCCTGAGTGTGTTCTGCAACCAGTCCACTGTCCTACCTCTACAGAAATAAAATTTCAAAACCCCTAAAAGGCTGCTTTACTTTCTATAGGTTCAGTGTTTTATAAAGAGGGCTTAAAATTTTTTTAAAGGCATTTCACTGGAGTATATTTAGATATTGGTCCATTCGTGTATAGTCTGATACTTGGTTATTTTTTTTTCTAATCTAAAAACTAAAGTCTTCCATCAGAAAAACTAAATTTCAATGATTTCTTCTCAGTTACCCCGTCTGTCTTGGTTCGGAGAATTTGAAACAGTAGCTTCCAGAGTTGTTCTGTCTCCTTTTCTCCCAATGTTTCTGTCTGTCTGCCCTTCCCACTGAGTCCCCAGTACATCTCTCTCGCTGGAATTTTCTTCGCCAGTTCCCCTCAGTATCCACTCTGTTTCCATCTGTGCAGCTCAGCTGAACTGTCCTGATGAGTTTGTTTCTCTCTTGTGGCTCTTGATTTAATTTCACCCAAGGCAGAATTCTCTTAAATCTTATTGATTTAAATCTTACTGAGATCACCGCTCCAGTATTACCTCATTTTCCCCTCCAGATTCTTGCAGCAAACCCCTTTTACACAGAAACCTTCCCTCTCATTGCTCAGAGCCACCAGCATTGCGCCACGCCCGGACCCCAGCCGCAGACTCCTTAGCTCTGCCTCCGCCCAGGGACAGTGCGCTCTGACTTCCGGATGGTGCTGATGATGAGACGCAGCAGCAGAACTGGAGGTCGGGAAGTCATCCCGACGGTGCTTGGCACAGTTCAGTTCAGGCGGTGGCGGGCACGCTGTGCGGCCTAAAGCCACCCTTGCCCTGGGCAGAGGCTGTGTTTGCCCATGTTATGTCATGGGCGTGCTCATGCTCTGTAACAGGTGCGCACAGAGTCATGCTTATTTCTGCCTGGAGCTTTGCTGGGTATGTGGCTCTTTCTCTGGAAATACAATTTGGGCAATGTTTGCACTCCTTTGGCTTTCTGCCTCAGGAGGGCATGCACTTGGGACAGTAGATTCCAGATAAAGAATGGCATGGTACGTTGGGTTATGGCTCAAGAATTCTATGATACCCATTTATGTCATTCATATCATCAGCTGGTGAACTCTGTGCATCACCAGGGCAAAGAAGAGCCATCGGCGGCGCCCCTCTCTCCTGACCATCCGCCTGTGTGGTTGGCTGCACCTTTACCAACCATTCTTCTCTTTGTGTTACCTAATTCAGGTAAACCAGTTGTTCCTTTGGAGGGCCGCGCATACGTAAGTCCTTCTAGACCTTGACCTCCTGTATCCAGCAGAGGAGCGGCCGGTTGCTAGTTCTCTTTAACACAATGTTCATAAAGTGTGGTCCCTTGACCTGTGGTTATCATCAGCATCACCTGAGAACTTGCTAGAATTGTAAGCGACCAGGCCTCTCCTCTGACCTACTAAATGAGGACTTCGAAGCCGGGACGCAGCAATCTGTGTTCCACCCCGGTGAGTCTGATCTGTTCAGATTTGAGGAGCATGGCTCGAGCGGAAGCAGAAACTGCCACTGGGCCTTCCTCGAAAGTGTCCCCAGAGATGACTCTGGAAAGTATAATAAAGGCTCCCTGGAGAGTTGGGTGCTCACTGCAGGCCACGAGGCTTGGTTTCCGTGTTTACTTCTCATTTCATTGAACTCAGGGCTTTCTGTAATGATTTGGCCAACAATTCTTCATTCCCGTTCGATGCTCTTGGTCCTAGTCCCTCGGCATAGCCTTTCTTTCCCCAATTCAAAGCCTCGGTCCTTAAAGCTCAACAACTGGGGTGAACTTGTTCATCACCTGGTGGACTTGCGGCTCAGCGTGGCCCCTTGGGTCCTGGCTGACGTCTCAGGGTGAGAGTTATAGGAAGATCGTAGACTCTGGCCTCAGTTTTTCCATCAATAAAATGGGTAAATAAATAGTAGTAGACAACTTAACATGCAGTATTGATTCAAATTTTAAGTAAGTAGTATTTGTGAAAGATCTTTGTAAATTGCATCCTGCTACCAAGTGTTCAGAGTTCATATGCAAAAAATTAGGCTGTATTTTCAGAAGCTCCGTACCTCTGCCTGGCACATAGTAGGTGGTGGGGAAATATCAGTTTCCTTTCAAACAGCGTAGCCCCAGAGCCCCGGGGCGTGCTCAGTGCGGACGGCAGGTTCCAGGGACAGATCAGGATGCTTGTAAGTAGCACAGGACCGTTTCCTCAGTATTGATTTGTTTATCAAACATTTTATTTTTAAGGAGCCCAAAAATAAACCAGCCCAGATTCTGCCGGATGTATCAGAGGTTCTGAATTAATGAGATCCAAATTTATGAGGGTTCAGATTTGTGACTTTCCTCTCTGATCGTCTCTTGTCAGGAGGCGGGGTGAGGAGAAACTGACATTCCGGGGCCAGGGCCCCCCTCTCCCTGGGACTTGTGGTGCACCCCTCCTCGCAGCCCTGTTCCTGTCTCCTTCATCCCCGGATGAAGATGAATTTCTCCAAGGACTGGAATCTGGCTTCTCTGGCTGTGATACATCTTGGGATATGGGCAGAAGCCTCTTAGTTCAGCTCCAACGATTCTTTCTGTTCTATAAAATCCTGGGTGGTAACCCCGGTGTTTTAAGGCAAGAGAGTTCCTGGTGGAAAGCTGTATCTGAGGGACGAGGTCCATGGCGGGGGGGGGGGGGGGCTAAAGGAAATGGGGTAACATCTTGTTCTGCTCCTGCTGTGCTGGGCCAGTGATTCTTGGTCGGTTCCTGGACCAGCAGCATCAGCGTCACCGGGAGACTTGATAGAAATGCAGACTCTCGAGCCCCAGCCCAGACGTTCTGAATCAGAAACCCTGGCCGGCGGGCCAGCAGTCTGTGTGAACCTGCGCTCCTGGTTGTTCTGAGGCTTGTTCAAGTTTGAGGACCGCTAACCCGGGACAAGGAAGGAAGAGGAAGAATTATGAAGCTTGGAACTTACATAGTGGGTGGTCCCGGGCCAATGGTCTTTGGACCCACCTGAATAATCTGAACTAGGTGGTTTCTCCATTTCCTCTGGGGCAGTGGTTCTCAACCTTCCCAGTGCCGCGACCCTGTAACACAGGTCCTCCTGTTGTCTGTGGGCGGATCGCCTGTGGGCGGACCCGCCTGGAGACCAGAGAGGAGCGGTGTCTCGGTTCCTAAGACCATCGGAAACACGTGCTTCCCAGGGGTCTTAGGCGACCCCTGTGAAAGGGTCATCTGACCCCCAAAGGGGTCACAACCCACAGGTTGAGAACCGCTGCTTAGGGCGGTGTTTCTCTCCTTCCCCTGGCACAGTAGCATCAGCTAGAGAGCTCCTTACAGATGTGCGTCCCTCCTCCCAGGCCCGAGCCGGCCAATCAGAATCCCCGGAGGAGTAGTACCTAGACAGCGGCATTTCTTAAAACTTCCAGATCATTCCGACCTGCACCCAAGTTTGAGATCTGCCAATGCACAGGATGCCCCGTGAAGAAAAAATGCGGTTTATGTTGCCTTTACGCTTATCACACGTATTTCCATTAGAAATTTATTTTACCTATTGATATTATAAAAGTTACGTGCTCATTATCAAAAAGAAAGCTGGGCCAGTACAGAGAAGTTGGAAGGGAAGAAGGAAGGAAGTGGTGTCCCGGCCACGCGAAGCCAGTGTGGCGTCGGGCGATTTTCTGTCAGCACTTACGCTGGGTGTGCTGGTGTGAATAGTTTGCAGCGTTGGGGTTGTGTTCAGTATCGCACTTCCTGTCTACTTTTTAACCGCACAGCGCGTCGTAGGGAGTTCTACACATTGTCATAATTGTAAGTGCAGTTTTGAAGATGCTCTTGTGGCAAGATGGTTCATACCCGAGGGTGGCGGGTAGGGGTCCTTTCTTTCTTTACAATGTCTGTATTTCTTTTTATTATTATTATTATTTTTTTTTTTTGTGGCACGTGCCCCTAGTAGGAACCGAACGTGGGACTCTCTGGTCCGCAGGCCAACGCTCAACTGCTGAGCCAGACGGGCCAGGGCGATGTCTATATTTCCAGCGCATTGCAAGTGTCAGAAGCAGGATTTTAACTCTTTCTCTCTGAACTCCTTCCAGAATTCTAACCAGCTCCAGTCTTTTCCTCACCCCATCCACAGGCAGTGCCTGGGCTGCCGGGGATGAGACCTTATGGCAGGATTTCGAGTCAGGAAAGCACAGGGATCTCTTCCAGTGTGTCAGTTACCGCCGTTCTGTCGTCGGCTTCAGGGGCTGGGTTTCCCCCACGCCGCGAGGGTCTACGGTTCCCGTAGGTTGCGGTGTGATTTGTAAACGCGCGCATGTAGAGAGCAGTCCCTGTCAGACCCTCAGACGCATACCTCCCTGCTTTGGGAAGAAAGAAAACAAGTAAGACAAGAACGAGAAGGAAGGAGGCTGAGGCCGAGGAGAGGGTGGGAGGACACATAGACTGATGCTCTGGTGTGCTCGGTCAGAAATGCGGAAATCAAGCCTGGTGCCCCCTTCCCACCCACTCTGCTTCCGATTCTCAGCATAACCTTCTCAGGACCTGCTTCTCTGTTGCACAGGAGATGCACACACACACACACACACACACACACACATATATATACACACGTATATATATGCACACACACACTTTGTTGCACAGATATATGCTATATCGAAATATATCTATATGTTTCTATGATATATAGTACTATATACATTTGTGTGATGACATGTATATTTTCATATATCTATGAAAGATATATATTTATATATACATTTATAAAATTCTGCGTCCGTATGTTTGACTGCTCTCCCTCCTGACTTAGCTGCTGGTGTGGAGGTCCGTTCAGCACCGCTGTCGGGCGAGCTGGAGCCTCGGCGCGTGTCTTCTTGTGGCGTGTCGGAGGCGCCAGGTAATTCTGCCCCGTCTCTTGCAGGACATCATGGGAAGGAGGCTTACCGCAGCGGAGGAGCTGATCTTCATAACTTCATCTCATCTGGATTTGTCACGTTAGGAAGAGGACACACGAAGGGTACAGTGGAAACCATTTTTTACTAAATACAGAGGTTGCCTAGGGACCCCTGATCTGAAGTGCGAAGACGGTGTGGAGGCCAGAGGCATGTCCGGGACAGGATTAAGTGGGGCGGCTCCATTGCAGCTTGTTCTGGTGACATGCATGGCTCTGGCCGGAGTGACCAGCAGGTCACGGTGTGACTTTAGCGGGCAATAATAGACTTCCAAGAGACACCCATCCTGCTCCACCCGCGGTGTGGAGCAGGATGCAGATGCCGGCGGCCCCCGCGGGAGGGGACCACGGCACCTGGTGGGGGACACTGCCCATGAATGCAGCAGCATTTGCAACTTGTCTCCTTGGCTATTATTCCTTTGTTCTGAAAGCCACCATTTATAAACCGTTGTCCATGCTCTGCGTATTGTGGTTCTCGAAGCCAGCACGCATGTCAAGTTTCAGCATCCTGAGTGTGTCTATGTAAACTCTCTATGATGTGGACACAGAGGTGGAGGTTCCGCAGACCTTCAAGCCGCAAGAGGAAAGCTCATGTAGCCTTTCTGCTCAGCTGCATTATGACCTAGCTGACAGCTTGCAGAGCATCTGTGCAGGGTCTGGAATCCTCACTCCTCGGTTCTGTCTTTTGTTTGAAGAGTCCTGCTGGTGTTGTGAGCATTCTGTCATATCAAGAGTGACTGGCTCTCTACCTTCTTTGATTACCTTCCTAACACCTGTGTACTGTTACGGAACAACTGTGACTTCTGTTGCAGGGATGGCGCATCCCTGTCTTCCTCTGAAACATGTGTCTGTTGTACGTGTGAGTGAACAAGGAACTTTGCCCTATTTTCTTACATCCCATGCACCTACTTTTTAAATCCCCTCTGTGCTGTGTGTTCATCCTGTAGAGAAAACTATCTGTATCTGTGTATGTATTTTCTGTTGTGTCTGTTTGTGTCTAAATAAAGTTTATTGAGGATACAGCTGGCATTTGTGGCTCATAAGAGTTGCAGACTGAAATGGGGAGCAGCCAGCTCCAGAAGCGGACGTGGCTGCACGGTCGGTCCTAGTCGTCCACTCAGACCTGGGTGGGCCGACCCCATGTCACCCGCTTCGTGATAATTATCTGTCACTGTGCAACAAATCACTCTAACAGGTAGCATTTTAAAACAACGATACACATTTCTTAGCTGACATAGTTCCTGCGGTTCAGGAACTCAGGGGCAGCTGAGCCAGGTGCTCTGGCTTGGGGTCTATCACGAGGCTGCAGTCGAGGTGTCACCAGGGGCTGCATCATCCGAGGGCTCGGCTGGGGCTGGAGGACCCGCTTCTAAGATGGTTCTCTCACACGGTGCCAGCTGCTGGCTGGGCCTCAGTTTCTCCCTATGCTGTTTTCTCTATGACCACTTGAGTGTCCCGACAGTAAGGCGGCTGGGCTTCCTGAGCATAGGTGATCCAAGGAAGAGAAAGGCAGAGCCACCGTGTCTTTTATGACCAAGCCTATTGGTTACACAACATCATTTTCACAGTATTCTGTTGGTCACACGAGTCAGCCCTGTTCGGAATGGGAGGAGACTACACAAGACTGTGAATATCGGGTGCCAAGGAGCACCAAGGGCCATAGGCGGCTGGCTTCCACACCATCCTGCCTGCAGGGCAACCTGTGAGCTTGATCTGTCAGCAGAACACGGCAACCAAGGTTTCTGAACTGAAGACCCTTCCCACCCTCACTCCTACTCCGTGCAGGTGGCCCACCCTGAAACACCAAGCAGTTCAAGCAATAGAACTCATTCTATGTGCGTGCGTGTGTGTGTGTGTGTATCTCTATATATTGATATATATAGATATAGATCTACACTCCCCCCCCCCCCATGAGACTTGCATGTGCTAAGCAATGTTCAGACTCAATGGAATCCGTTCTCATGGAGCTTGTACTCCATTGGCAGATGCAGACAAAATTAGTTCTTGGTGACAGGTACGAGGGGGCAGGGAGATCTGTGGCAGGGAGCCCCTTGTGTCAGCGAAGGGATCTTGGGTGAGGTGGCAATTGGGCAGAGACCTGCATCCCAGGCAGAGGCAACAGGAGGCCGTGAGGAGGACGCTTTCTCGTGGTGTCGAGGTAGGAGGGAGGCCAGTGTGCGTGCAGGAGAGAAAAGGCCGAGGTCCATGGAGATGGGATCAGAGCCACAGGGGAGCCGGATCATGCATTTATCAGGCCGTGGGCATAAAAACGAACTGGACCTTCGTCAGAGCCACGTAAAGGTCATTGTCTATCGCTACCTGTCCTTTGGGTCCCTGCCACCTGGGGCACCCGGGAGGCTTACCTGCCTGTGTGTGGAAGTTTTGCCGGGGCTTCTGCTTATATCCCCCTCTTACCTTGCTGTGTGGCCTTATCCAGCCCCCTGTGCATGCAGGGCCTGTCCTCCTGTGTCCATCACATCCACCACCCCGTCTTCTCCGTTCTCTTCCAGCAAAGTCCTCTGAAACCCCCTCTTTCCAGGAAAGTACCTTGTGTATATTTTCCTATTGAGATAATAACTAAAGTTTCATGAGCAAAGAGACCGGAGTGGTGGGGGACAGCAGGGGATGCCTTGGAAATGAGGATTCCCTTCTAATATCAGGGTCTCCTTAGACACCCCAGATCTCTGGAAAAGAGCCAAGCCCCATTCTTCCTTCCTTCCGAGCAAACCGAGTTCGACTCTGAGCGGCACCTGGAAGCAAACCGAACCCCCGTAAACACCGCGTGGGAGGGGACACTCAGAGAGCTCGAACATGACACCGTTGTCCATCGCGTGTGATTAATTCTCTCCGCTTCCATCTCTCCCTTTCCTTATTCTTTTGTTGCAACTCCAGTGACTGCCTTTTTCTGGTCCCTCTTCCTTCATCCTTTTTTTCTTCTTTCCTACATTTGCCTAAAGCCTTCGGGTGGCACGTGGCCGCTGTGTAGAGTCAGTGTGACTCAGAACCAGTGGGGTAGCCAACACAGGTTTAGAAGATGATACCATTGCCCTACCAACCCACATCACTCAATTTAACATGCATTTCGAATACGACTGAGTATGTAAGAACCGGGCGTGGGTGGTCCCTGTTCTAAATGGCATTGGTGGCCTTCCTTGGAAGCTGGGATGACATTGGTCCCGAGTTCCAATGTGGGGGCGCCAGTAGCCTTATGGGGCTAGACATGCACTCCAGCCTCAGAGAGGACTCCTCCAACCTCAGAGAGCGCCTGTCAGCCCCATTCCACAGGTGAAAACTGTAACGAGAGCAGGTGAGTTCACTAAACGGTTAGTACCGCTCCCTTCCAAATCGAGGCCTGTTTCCCGAGACTGCCCTCCCAGGACTGTCTCCTGCCCCGACAGTGGGAAGAGCCCAGGCGGCGTATGGGCTGTGGTTCAGTGGGCACCACGCATCGGTGAGCTCAATAGCGGGGGGCTGTTTTTATTAGAGGCACACCTTTTGCAAGACAGGACGTGACAAAAGGGAGATGGGCCGGGAAGCAGAGTATTAACACTGTTTGCAGGGTCTGCCCTTTCAGAAAGGAAGTTCATCCTCCTCTAATAATGGCTCAGGGTCTGTACACCGAAGAGACCCCATTCTGTTTAGACAGTTTGGTTAAAATCTTTCAGGCAGATTTTTTTTTTTTTTTTCCTGAGTCTGGTAGAAAAAGCCAGAAGATTCTTTCCAGAAGCCCCTACACATCAGCAGTGTTGATTCCGGCGACCTCCACTGGTGCACCCCAGGCCACCCCGGCCACCCCTGGCCACCCCAGGCCACCCAGGCCTTCTGTGCGCAGGCAGCTCGCAGAGTGACGGCTGGTTGCTGCTGCCCGTCTCCCTCTGTTCACCGGGTCCTTTCCGCCGTCCCGGGAGCCAGCGAGAGCGCTGTGTGTCTGTGCACGAGAGAGGTAGGAGAGGGGCCCCAGGCTTTTGCTGAAAGGTAGGAGCGCCAGCGTGATGCCCTTTGTAGGAGACATACGCTGTCGCCCTTACAGGCTTTTATTTCACGTGAGCACCTTTGCTGAGCATCTGCCCTGTGCCAGACACTGTTCTGGGCACTGAGGTTACAGCAGGCAGGAAGAGATCATAGAAATAAGAAAGAAAGAAGCAAAAATAGGACCTATGTCAAGATCTAGTTACGAACTATGGAGCAAAATGAGGCATAGAAAGGGAGGGAGGAGTTGCCGTTTTTAAAAGAGCATCTGGGCCCCGCCGGTTTGGCTCAGCGGTTAGAGTGTCAGCCCGCAGACCAGAAAGTCCCGGTTCAGTTCCCGCTCAGGGCACATACCTCGGTTGCAGTTTGTCCCCGGCCCCACATCACATCAATGTTTCTCTCTCTCTCTTCCTTCCTCTCTCCCTCCTGCTCTATCTGAAGATAAGTGCAAAAACGTCCTTGGGTGAGGATAAAAAGAAAAGGTAAAAGAGCATTTGGAAGAATGAAGGAAAAGAGTTTAGCCAAGGAGGTGAGGATGGAGTCAGCCGGATTTCTGGGGAGGGTCTCCCGGCCGAGGGAGCGGTGGTGCGGCGCCCGCCTGGTTGCCCAGCGACACTGAGATGGAGACAGACGGAGCGCGTGTGAGCAGCAGGTGAGGTCAGAGCTGGGGCTTGGCCGCCCAGGGCCTGTGGGGCCATCTAAGGATCTGGTTTCCACTCTGGGCCCCATGAAATACAGAATGTTTTTTGCCTGAAGAATCAGGCAGATGGAAGCTGGCGGGAGGGACAGGCTTTAGGCAGAGGTTGAGGGTGAGATACATTCACTGTGGCTTCGTATTAAGTTTTAGATGCTTATTAATAACCCATGTGGAAATGTCAAGTTCAGGGGAGATGTCCTGGCTGGGGCTATAAATGTGGGGGTTTCCAGTCCATGAAGCCAGAAAACTGGGCAAGATCAGCTAGGGAGTGGGTGTCAGTTCCCCAAGTGAGCACAGGCTTGAGAAGGGAGCCACTGGGCACCTCAAAATGGAGACGTGGGGGAGATGAGGAGGGACCTACAGAGGAGACTAGTCATGTGTGGGCAGCCAGGAAGCAAGA